GACGGAGGGGGGGAGAAAGGGGACGGAGGTGTTTTTTTAGCCGATTTTGTGCTCCCCCCTGACGATGTGGGAGGAGAACTCGTACCGGTCCTGGCTGTGGTACCCGCAGATGTTGCACTCGAAAGGGTCTCTGAAGCCGTGGCAGCCCATGTGGATGGTGAACATGACGTGGTCGAGGAAGAGGATGCGGCAGTGCTCGCACTTGAAGGCCCTGATCTGCTCCCCCTCCTCGTTGACCACCCGCAGGGTTTCTTTGGCCGAGCTGGGGGTGGCACGAGCTTGGGGGGGTCCCTCCGTAGTTTTGGGGTCCTCTTTGGCGTAGGCCGGGCTCTGGCGGCTGCCGGAACAAGGCCCCGCCGCCAGCTGGGAGCTCCGCTCCTCGTGGTTGCTCTCGGTGTCCGTGGAATCCTGGCAGCCGTTGGGGGGGGACGCCGGCTCCCGACCCCCCCGAAAAACCACCTGCACGGCGTCCCCCACTTCTTCGTGGCCCTCGGCTGCTTCTCGGCCCCCCGATATCTCCAAGCGGCCCGGCAGGGGTTGGATTTGGGTGTAGACGGAGCTGATGACGGGGGTGACCTCGGAGATGCAGTTTGTGGGGGGCAATCGGAGGGGGCGGAGGTGTTCCCCCCCCATGAGGGAGGGGGAGCCGCCGTAGGAGGAGGGGTCCAGGGGGTGGTGGGCAGAGACCATCTCCGACGGAGGGGGGGAGAAAGGGGACGGAGGTGTTTTTTTAGCCGATTTTGTGCTCCCCCCTGACGATGTGGGAGGAGAACTCGTACCGGTCCTGGCTGTGGTACCCGCAGATGTTGCACTCGAAAGGGTCTCTGAAGCCGTGGCAGCCCATGTGGATGGTGAACATGACGTGGTCGAGGAAGAGGATGCGGCAGTGCTCGCACTTGAAGGCCCTGATCTGCTCCCCCTCCTCGTTGACCACCCGCAGGGTTTCTTTGGCCGAGCTGGGGGTGGCACGAGCTTGGGGGGGTCCCTCCGTAGTTTTGGGGTCCTCTTTGGCGTAGGCCGGGCTCTGGCGGCTGCCGGAACAAGGCCCCGCCGCCAGCTGGGAGCTCCGCTCCTCGTGGTTGCTCTCGGTGTCCGTGGAATCCTGGCAGCCGTTGGGGGGGGACGCCGGCTCCCGACCCCCCCGAAAAACCACCTGCACGGCGTCCCCCACTTCTTCGTGCCCCTCGGCTGCTTCTCGGCCCCCCGATATCTCCAAGCGGCCCGGCAGGGGTTGGATTTGGGTGTAGACGGAGCTGATGACGGGGGTGACCTCGGAGATGCAGTTTGTGGGGGGCAATCGGAGGGGGCGGAGGTGTTCCCCCCCCATGAGGGAGAGGGAGCCGCCGTAGGAGGAGGGGTCCAGGGGGTGGTGGGCAGAGACCATCTCCACGTCCTTCTCGAAGCCGGGGTTGACGTCGAAGGGGAGGTCCGAGAGGGTGAATCGCATCTGCTTCTCCCCTGCCGGGGAAGGAGAGCGGCGTCAGGGCTTGGGTTTTTGGGGTACAATCCCCCCCACCCCCACCT